CTCCCCCGCTTGCACACACCACCCTCCCCCCCCCCCCCCCGACCACTGGCCTGGCGGCCCTGCCCTGCACCCCCTCCCCATCGCCGGGCGTAGAGAGGCGCAGTGTGGATTGGTTTTTGGGGACAGTCCCCCGTGGAGGGACCGGTTCCCGGAACGAGTCGTTCCTGCGTGCGTCCCTGTTCCTGGAAAGCGCGCACTGCTCTCGGCTTGTTTTTTTTTCTTGTTTTTTTTTTCACGGTTGCACGGATTTCGCCTCAAGCGGACAGGACTGCGTTCGCCTCAAAACGCCGCTCGGCCAACACCACTCGGCCCGCGGCTCGTCAATTCTCCACATAGGGCGGTCGCCCTCAGTGGCCTCTTTGGCGACCGAACACCCGGGCAGTGACAGACGGGTCCAGCAGCCCACTCGTATTTGATAGAATATCTGTAATAAAAATCTGACCGTACACACACACGATCGGCATTCTCCAAATACTTATTTTTCCCCGTAGCGTACAGTAAGCAGTTATGTTCATTAATTCTTTGAAATGTGTTTTCTTCACCTAGGCCGTTGCCCACAGACATCTCAAGAAGCCTGAAGGTTTTCCCGACCCCATTAGAAAAGTTCTTGACAGGCTTTCAGACATTTCAAGGCATTGTAAAGGGCACTTTAGACATTTCAGGAGAGCCTTCGACGGGGCCAGTGAACCCACCAGCAAATATCGGTGCCCCCTTCAAACATCTTAAAAATTCCTGAAGTCCCCTTCACACCCTTTAAAAAAGTCCTGAAGTCCCATCAGAGCGATTTTCAATAGGGTATGTTACAGAAATTACATAGAACAAGAGAATCCCAGGAGTGTGGTGAGCAGTAGTGTATGGCATACTACTGCTTTTACCTTCTTTTAGAACTCTCATGTAGTGCTGGAAATATCAAGAATGCGAGACTCCTGAAAGACATTTTCTTTATGCGTGCACCTTCCTAACCAAGGAACTGCTCACACCAGCACACTCATGCTGTGGGTCTTCCAGTACAACACACAACCTATGAACCAAGCAGCCTTGAGCAATGTGCACCTGGCATGATCTAATTACTTTGCAGCAGACAGGCCTGCTCTTCAATCACATGAAAAATGGAAAGCGAAAAGTTGGAAATCACTCACTTCGAAACACAACACAAGGTCCGAAAATGAAAAGGAGCGAAAACAGAAGAGTCCTGCATTCACTTTCCTTTGTGCTATAACTGTCTGTCATAACTGATTTCCAATGACAAGTTAACTGTTCTCGTCAATGTTTTTGGTGCTGTGGAAGTCCAGCTCTTGCCCATTGCGTTGAACAAACAACAAAGACCGTGAGCACAAGGTGCTCTGGATGTAAGTGAATAAAGCAAGGACGAAGAAACTCGGCCTGGAATAATTCATTAGTGCCATATGACACAGGTTTTCTTTCCACGGTTCTCTAAACAATGCTTGCCAGCCAATTTTAGACCTTGACTGCACCTCTCTAGAACTAGGGCACTCATGCTGCAATGTTGGGTGCCCAGCAGTATGTGCAATGTAACCAGCTGCTCCTGCTGAGTGGGCGAGAGGTCCTAAACAGTGCAGCTTGGGGCAGTTCAGGCCCTCACCATCCAGGTTGGCAGTGTGCAGCTGCAACTACAAAAGATTAGCACAAGTGACCGATGACCGGAGTAGCAAAATCGCGATAGGCAGTGCTATTATTCCCGAGCGCGCCGATAGCAAGTGCCAGGCATGTTCCATGTCTCAACGTGTGGGTGGCTGCCAGAAAATTGAGGGATAAGATAGCTTTCGAAATGCGAGCTTTAGGATGAGCTGCGTTGTGCCGGCCACCACCGTGTGTCGCGATTTTGCTGCTCAGGTCGTTGGTCGCTTGTGCTTATCTTTTTCCGCTGCAGCTCTACCTGATGACTGGTGCACAGCTGACATGACACAGTTTCAGTAGTACGCATACATGGTTTGCAGGTAATGTCATGTCACTATAAAAGACAAGACTTTTGAGTACTTCCAAGGGCACCGTGTTGGTGACCAGCAGTTGGTACATGTCAGATGTGGTTAATGGCAGAGGCTGCTCATATTGCCATGCACGTCTCCGAGCAAGCTTGCCCATGGCCGAATGGTTATCGTGCTTAGCTTGCACACAAAGGGCTGAGGTATGATGCCTGGCCGCACATGCACCTTTTTGCTATGTCTGTAAATGTTGCATTCAGGTTTAATTGAAGAATCCCGTTGCTTCTTCAAAGTCACAATATTCTACGCACCGAACGTTTTATGCCGATTGTTCCAGAAGTCCACGCATGTACATGAGGGGCTCTGCGTGGCGATACAGAGAGAGCCTCGCTCTTGCGCTCGATCTTGCAACTTCACCGACCTTCGATACCTGTGATGCTACCTCTTTGTATTTTTGTTTTCGGCACAAGTTTGCCAAATTAGACGTTTAAACGTTTAGTTTAGTTCGACAGAAACTAAACGTTTAATAAACGTTTAGTTTCTGTTCATTCGTCACCTGATCATCTGTCATTCGTGAAATTTTGGTGGAGGTGTGGGACATTAACAAAAAGGTGCATGCGCGGCCAGAAATCGAACCTTGGCCCTTTGTGTGGGAACCAAGCACGAGAACTATTCGGCCACGGGCGCGCTTGCTCAGAGACGTGCGGGAAAATATGTGCTTGTGCAAGCACTTGGGCTAAGCCTAGGCAAAAGTTTAAACCGTCAAGTGATGATGACAAAATTTTTCCGTGTTTGTCCAATTCAGTACGCAGAAAATATTGCTCTGTGTGCTGGCGAGAACCATCTGCTACTTACTCTCAACTGTGACAGATAGTGATATCTAGCCAAAGGTGGAGGACGTGAATACCTGAGTGCAAAAGATTAAGAGAAGTATACAAAACTGCACGCCAATAATTTTGCCGAGCTCGACAGGCAATGCCCAGCCAGGTGTGTCCTGCTTCCACAGCCCTTTGCAGCAAATATTTTTAGAAGTGGACCTTTTATATAAATAGCAGACACCGGTTTTGGAATTGGTGAGCCAGTTTTGTTTTAGTGTCATTCCCTTGTCAATTTCAGGGCGGTGGCTAGATGTGGTGCTGCCGGGAATGTTTGGTGGAAGCAGGTTGCTGTTGGGAAACAGGACCGGAGGCACCGTCTTTTTACTAACTGACACAGTTTCATTAATTGGATCTGTGTCTTGTCCGACACAAAACTCGAGTAACCATGTGTGGATTGTCTCTGCGTCACCTTGCTAGAAACATCAACACGGTTGGACCTACAGCCACCTTGGGAGCTACCGACCAGGCGCAATGTGTTACTGACAGCATCTTCTACCTTCCTCACAGTTATGCACAGTGCAGGTCATGTTCACATTTTTGTGCAATTGCTCAGATGTGTACAAAAGCCGTCACTTTGGGCCACTAAAGCCAGCACAGTTCACCATGATCAAAATGTAGCAAAGCTGCAACCCCACAACATCAATGGCCACCAGCATGAGGCTACCGACGGTACTCATGCATAATACATGTCCTGACACAGGCGCAAACCACGTATTATAGAGATGAATCCAGACTTGTTTTTATACCTACCATTTGGTAGTGATGGAGCTGCCATCTGTGCTGGGTCCTCACTAGCACCTTTGGCCACAGCAGATGAGTCCTGCATCATCTAATCAAACACAAGTTAACACACAACAAATTGGCAGCCTTTCTGGTTCCGCGTTGATGTAATGCCCATTGCCTACACTTTAGAATTCAGGTATCGGATTGCCTCATGCACAGCTCTAGAGAAAGTAACTCGTTAGCTTGAGCGCTACGATCCGAGCTTTCAAAGAAACATCACGAGGCAGCACACTCGTGCAAAGTCAATAAGACCAAAAACAACACGGTATCTGTTTACTACAAGTAGCAAGTTTTAGGAGACCGTTACCGTGTTCTGCGGTGGCCACGGTACGGCTGGTAAGGCTTTAAGCGCACTGAAAAGCATGCTTCAAAGTTACAGCGCGCGCTCCCAGTAGCAATTTCGCTGCGGACGGCAACGGTACGCTAAACCCGCCCCTTGAGATGCCATGCACTTACCGACACTGCAGTCGAGATGCCGTGTGGCGACGGGCGAGGCGCGTCCGCCCTCGAAATCATGGGCCTTCTTCCGTGTCTTTGCGAGGAACCTTTCTCATATGGGCCAAGATTCTCTCCTACTCCTCGAGTTCAGCGAGGACACTTTGTTCACTTCCCCCACCAGACTGCCGAGTTGTAATCGCTACGTGATAACCTTTGAAAAAGCCTGACTTGAGAGCAAAAATTCCAAAAGTGAGGCAAATCTTCGTACAGACACACGAGCACTTTACGCGCGACATCCGCCGTCGGCCATCACGATTCATTACGATCGCGAGGCAGCTCACGCATTGCGATCATCTAATTTGTTTCACTTATGTAAAAAGACATAATTGATGCAAGCTAGACTTAAAACTGGTAATTGTATTTGAATTGTACCGCACTCTACATTTTTATAAGTTAAAAATGTTGCTTTTACAAGACCCTTCGATGCGGCGTTGCGCATTTCCCTCTAGGGACATATTTTGAGGACAAATCCCGATAAAGTTTCAACTTAATCGCCACTCTCCGTCAACGTCATCAACGCGCCGCGATGAAGTTCTTTGCCAGTTGAGTTCGCCGCCGATGGAGATTAGGCTCCTCCTCCCACTGGCGACGTCACGATGAAGTTTCTTCATCGCTTTTTCTAGCGTAGACAGAGTGGTCTCTCTCGGTCTTACTCGGTCGCAAGAGTGTAAACGGCGCTTTAGTACGCGGAACGCAGGCGTCTGGCGTTTGGCTTTCTCTTTCGTACACGTTCGACAGGTGCACCGGGACACAAAGACAGCTAACTTTAGATCTATCTCCTGATCCTTTCAGCCAGAGCTCGGCGTTCTGACATTTGAACGCTCTCACTTCACCCTCTACCTTACTTTCTCAGTGCATACAGCGATATAAAGATCATTCTAAATGTCACGAACAAAGCATGCTGAAAAAAAATCTGGTCTTCATGGGGCAGTGCAAGGTCATTCGGAGCTTCCAATAGAATCTCGCCCCCTCAGAATTATGTATTTGAACTGCATCTTCCCATAGGTGGCGAAATGTTCAGAAACGCGTCTGGGGAAGTGTTCTATCGGTCGGATCGCTGCAATTATATTTGTTTCCTGGATCACCAAGATGGGAGAGTTCTTGTCACAAGCGATCCTGCTTTCTTCGTTCGTGGTGAGCATTTTTTGTTGTCCGTCGGAAGAACAAGCAATACAAAACAATTTTGTAAAGTATGTCTAAACCCAATGACAAAAATAGACCAAACAACTATTATTTCACTATATATATCATAAAAGATGTTTCATCTAATGCGTGCCAAAACCTGAGCGAAAAGCTAATCCACGCAACGCAAGTAGAACGAACGCAGTATTGTTCCAGTCCCGTTGATCGAGTGCATGTGCCAAACAAGCTAATCAACACAAACCATTTAGCTAACTTTATAAATCTGTAAGAGGAAATAGAGTGAAGGAAACTGGGAACCGGTTTCCGTCCCGGCAGATACTATTTTGCAGGTTGGGTTTTAAAGGGGCCCTCCAACGATGGTTTGAGCTTCTGCCCTTTTTATATTATAGCTCCTTTAGTGGTTCGGGCTACTCGGGGAACAAGTAGTAGCCATGGGGTATTAGTACATCATATTTTATTTCGATCACTCAAAAACAGGTCAATGTCCGGTGGCGCCGCAGTGCGTGAAAACGCGCGGCTGGTGGCGTCATCAATTTACTTTTTTTAGTTTTTTTTATTTGCAGTAATGTCAAAAGTTGTGAGAATATTCTTATGCAGCCGGAGTAATATGTATCACTTTTTAAAGCCTCGTTATTCTTTTAAGAATGTGTTTTTACTGAACAAGAAATATGGAAAATATTAAAAAATATTCGATTTTGTTCATCCAGATACAACGTTAATAACCTGCTTCACGATGTTTCCTTTTTCAGTTGCTCGTTGGAGCAGGTGAGCGTTGTTTTACTTACCTGGTAGGTTTTTCAATAAGTCGTCTATTATCTATAGAACCCGTGTTTGAAGGAAAGCTGAAGCACTTTTAAAGGCATCTCAGTAAGGAGTGCACTTCTACACCTTGTTTTCTTTTACCGAGAATTTAGCAAATATGATTAGCCTGGGCAGAAATATATGTAAACAGCATGTATTTGGAAAAATGCATATAGCTATTGCTGCAGGGCAACCCTTCCGCCTTTTATCTCTACAAAACAAGCTGAAGTCAAGGTCGGCACCCCCGAGCCAGCTTAGCGACGAGCAAGTGTTGTTAAATTGGAGATCAGAAACAACTCAAGGGGTTTATTCCAAGCGTCCGTTTCGCTCAGGATATAAAAATAAAATCTATATAAAAAAGGTCGAGTTCTATGCCCCTTTAAGCGAGCACGGGCCCATCATCCTCTATGTCTTCGCTTGCACTTGAGCAGTTTTGATGAGGCATTTTCGACACATTCTAGCCGCAAACAAAATCCAATGCTACTTCTAAGCTGTGAAATCGGTGGGTGAGCATTCAGTCGATTTCGGAACTAAATCTTGCGTGACCGTACATTTCTTTCCTTCTGAATTCTCTGACCATCTAATGTTCCACTACGACACATTGGTTGCGTATTCAGGATTTTCTAAACATTTGTGATAAAACGATGACATACTTTGAAAAGACCTCTTCGCCATAAAGGGTCTTGAAAGAGCAGGTAATCTTGCTCGACCATTCATCAGGTGTCTCATTTTAGAGCGCAGCTCCTAGGAGCCCGTTTCCGGCTTGAGTGGCGTCGGCATCGGCGTCGCCGTAGGCGTAACTGCGCACGTCACGAGTGTCACTAGGGTCACGAGTCACGTCACGAAGGTCACGAGTCACGTCGCGAAGTTCACTCGTGAAGGTCACGACGAAGGTCATGACCTTCACAGCAACTTTCACGAGGTCTTGACCAGTGACGTCACGAGGGTCACTAGGGTCACGAGTGACGTTACGAGGGAGGACGGAGGGAGAGGGAGGAGGAGGAGAGGAGGAGGATGGAAGGAGAAGGAGGGGGAGGAGAGGATATCCTCCTCTTTGTACCCTCCCCTCCTCCTCAAGGGCTGCGCTCTAATTCGGCATTACAGGGAATTGTAAACGCCTTTCATTTTTGTCCTGATATATTATTTTCTTTATTATCAGTAGACTCCAAGTTCAAATACGGGAAATGTAACAACCCTCATCTGTTCGTGCGCACCAACATATTCTGCGTTTTGTTGAACGTCTCAGAAGGTCTGAAGGTCTTTCACCCACGTTCTATACAGAAGCATTGCCGCAGGAGACCTTAGTGCTGAGCTTTCGTTTTAAATCCTTGCCCGTCGCGTTCTTCTGATCAAGCACTGTCCAGAAATTACACACGCATTCTGCTACCTTGGTACCCTTAAAGCTACTATTTGTTGCCTTAAATGTGTCATAATTATCTGCCTTCTCTAGAAAATTGTTCTGACTCTTGCAACCAGCTAAAAGCGAGGGTACATAAAAAACGACTTGGAGTCGCTTCGACAGCGCTTCTTCTCTAATGACATCCCTGTCTTGTACGTGAACTAACCAAACTAACCTGCTTCCATTAACAGCAGTCTCGTTAGTTTCCAGATCATCCGTACTCGCTGTCACCTACTCTCTGAAAGCTTCGTCATACACGATCTATTAAAGATTAAGTCCTTGACAGTTGGCTTACTAGTTTCAGATGTCACGTCTCTCCTTTTTGCTTGCTGTTCGTAAGGTCACCTGTATTTTCTTCCCACAGGTGTAAGACGTCATGTTCTGTCAGACTGGCGAATATTGCAACTTGAAAGCGGGATAACCGGACTCGTTATTTGTTCGGCACACGCGTGCGTGAATTCCAAACTCTCTGACACCGAAACGGGTCGAAGAACTTCTTCAGTTTGGTCTGGGGTGTGGGTCGTTAAGAAACAAATGACTAAGCTCGGCTGGGATCCTCGTGGCGTCAAGAACTGTGTCCGTCCTTGACAATTCGAAATCCCTTTTCTATTTAATGCAACAAGTGAGATGCAGTCCTTACACCGAGTGATTTCATCAGTCATGCAACTCTACATCTAGTCAGAGCCAATAAATATGCTGATCTCCAGTTGCGCAGACGCTCCTGGAAACATCGCATTATCGGCGGTTAAATGTCCCTATTTTTCCATATCTGCCACGAAGACTCAATTTGTTGTTAAAGTAGTTAAGTCTTGTTAAAGCAGAGGGATCTGGAACACATCAATCTTGCATCCGTTAATGCTGAAATGAATTCTGGGTTGCAGCTCCATTACTTGCTGTTTCTTGACTCCTTGAGGGTACTGGCGAAGGTATTGAACATCTATTTGTATGGCCAGCGCCCTTAAACTGTAGACTTCTCTATACTTCTTTAGTGAGAAACGTCCGCCGACTGCCTCCCTCAATCACTCCTCTGACGTATCTTCAGGCAGGGCCGGTGACAGCTCATGCTAGAAAATGTTTGCAATAGTACATCTCCGAACCCTCGGTTGCCTTGGGAGATTGCCGACGAGCAAACCGCTATGCTGGTGCTTGTGGAGGAGTGCTTTTCTTTTTCCTTTATTCGTGACGGGTCACAAATAGACGTAGCGTGTCTTCAACTGCAAGCAGCACAGGTGATCCTGCGTCCGCAGTCTCTTGCTCGATGGCCAATGACATTGCATCTGAAACAGCACATCTCCTTCGACAATTGTTTCTTTTGGTCCAAAGGTAGAGCAGAGGAACAATCTGCGGTACTGCGGCTTGTCTCTTCTCAGAAACCACATTCTTCCTTCGGTGCAGAGACGTCATATAATACTGAGGAGGTCAGTCTAGACGGTTCTCATTAATTGAATTTGTCCTTATACTTCGTGGTTTAAGCAATATGTAAAGCAGCGTACGAAACAACGAAAACCGGAGAGGAAATGCAGAGGACGAGCACTAAGTAAACAACCAAATCACCATCATGTCAACACGTATCGAAGCAGGTTGTCACCTTGTTAGTGCAAATAAGCAGAAGTTTGGCTTACGCTGTTGTTATACCCGTGCCTATTTATTTCATATGCCTCTAATAATTTCCCGGTTGTATTGTCAGCTCCTCTTCCAATGATCGTAATGTTGTCAAAGAGATGATGATACAAACAAGTGCTGCCTTGCCGGGGTAGAGTGTTTTTCAATAAATATTTAGTCGTCAGCTCAGCGCTCGTCTTGTGTACTTCTTTTTCATCTTCGTTGTTTTGCGCGCTGTTTCTCACATTGCTTAAACATGAACCAGCTCGCCCACATCGCCACCCTACTTCGTGGTTGTTCTGTCGTTCGCCTCTGTGGTCTCAAACTCGCTCCTCTTTCGAATTTCGACCTCCCCGAGTAAGAATGAAAATATCTGATGCAGTTATGATCGGTCTAGTTGACTGCTTGGACCAGCCATAGTCTTCGTCGCAAATAAATATGTGGTCCTGTGTAAGTTAGCGACGATTGTAGCGTGGAAGAACTCTCATCAGAATTTCGTAGATTATTAAAGCGAAAATGGCGGTGTTTACACGCAATGCTTAGAGACCTAGCACGTTGTTCTGCGATTGACGCAATATCGTGTAGCTAAGATGTCGTTGGAAGACTTGACTTATGGTATTAACCTCAGTCTGTAGAAATACTGTAGCTGTAATATTTTTCTGGCTCCATAGTGGTACCCAAGAATCTCTCATGTATGCGTGCAGCAAGTCTTTGTTCTTGGCAATCCCGCGACTACCGCTGCCACTACTTCGGCTAGGTACATTCGAGGGTAGCCAAACGTTTCGCTGGTACACAAAGTCGAGTTTTTGTGAATGATTTGGTCACACCGCTCCCACGATGGCGACCATTGGGAAATTTCACCCTTGGACGGCGTAACGATTAGCTTTGGCAGCCTGGTTTTCGCATGTCTTGTGACTTGGACGTCGGTTTGGTCCAGAACAGGTCCTCTACCTTCCCCTCGCGAGATCTCGTCTAGAACATTGTTTTTATGAATTTGAGATCGCTGAGGGTGCGAATCGCTTGGTCTTCGTACTGGACGACTGTCTTAAATTCGGTTTCGAAGGAATCGTCTGGTATATAGACAGTAAAACATTTACTTATATCTCTGAGCCCCTCGTTGATGGCGGGCACTCGTTCGGCTACAGTGGTAATCTAGCTAATCGTTGAGTCTTGATTTTGTAAAACTGCA